TATTTCGATAAAAACCTTAATATTTTATGTATATAAAAAACATATAACTCTATTAATGATGTACTCTCAATTTTTATCATAATAAAAAATTTATTACCGATTTTGTTCGTGGATTGCAAGTTTTTCTGTCAAATCACGTAAAATTTTTGTCTTTTCTTATTTTACACTTTATATTTTGCGTGATTATATGTATATTGAGAATATATTTATTTAATAATATAATTAATTATATAGTTTTAATTTGAGAAGAAAATTGGAATCAATAATTTCCAAATTTGGAATTATTGTTTTCCAACTATCAACGATTTCCCCCCCAAAAGGAATTAAAACACTAAATGCCAACCACAAGGACGAATTTCCCACGTGCTCTTTTACGCACGTGGATTAAATTGGAATATATATATATTTTTTTTTTCAAAAGGCTTAATTTTATGAAAAATAAAATTAAAAAGGTAAATATTTTTCATATATAATTTGAATTCACTACATATTTTTAATTTGTAAAAATAGTTTTTAATTTTTTATTTTTTTATAATTTGTTCTACGGTTTTCAATTTTTTTTAACTAATTTATCGGTATTATTTGTTTTTTTTAAAAAAAATTAAATGATGTAATTTCGTTATGTATCAAATTTATAAGGAATTCAAAGAAAACTTAAATAAAGAGATAATCGTCGGTCGGTCGATAACATCAAAATTCTTAAAAATATACAATTTTTAAATAGAGTATATTAATTTACGTGACAATTATAACATCTGTTTCGTATTATAACATAACTTTTATATCGTGATTGTATGTATAAATTTATATATATTAATATATTAATTAATTGAATGACTAATTCAAAAAATAAAAAATGAAAAAATTGATAGTATCAATTAGAAAGAAAAAATAAATAAAATTATCAATTAGTTTCTAGAATTTGATATTTTGTCATAATTTGATCTTTAATATTCTTTATTTATTTCAAATAAATATAAAATATTAGGAATTAAATTATAATAAAAAATCATAAAATTAAATCTTAAGAAATGTCAAATTTCACATACTAATTTAATAATTTATGAATTAAAAAACTAAGAATAAAATGAGACATGAGTAAATGGTTAATAACTACTTTTAAAGTTAATCATATACATATATACATATATATGTGTGTGTATATATATATATATATATAGAGAGAGAGAGAGAGAGAGAGAGAGGAGGAGGTAGCAAAGCACTAACTAAACATGTGAATGACAAGAGCTTCTTTGATTCTTTTAATTTCTTCACATGTTTAGGTAGTGCAAATGCCTCCCACCTTTTACAAATTTAAAATGAATTTAAATGTTTCAAAACAAAAAAAAAAAAAAAAAAAATTTAATTTTCTTTTTCTTTATTGAAAAAGTTGAACATGTAATTGGGTCAAGTGTGGAAAATTGGTTACATAATGATGTATTCAAAGTATCGACCAATTACCATCCGCCACGTGGCTCAATCCCAACCCTTGATACTTGTTCCTAATATCTATCTTATTGTCATATTTTAAATGGGTCAATGAGTTTAGCATGATATTGATTTATTCAAAATATATATATATATATATATATATATAGAATTGGGAAAATGATTTTCCATTTTTTTAGATATTAGTAGTTATTTAAATCATAATCCAACATTAAACTAGAAGCAATAAATTATGTATTAATTTCCATTTTAGTTTTAGGATTAGAATAGTATGCACCACCACATTGTAAATTTTAATAATTGTTTTATATTTCATATACAATTATATATACAACTACCTATAAATAAATTACATAATATATTTTATCTTTTAACTTATATATTATTATACTAAGCTAACCACAAATATATTAAAATTCAAATATTATAAGTATATCTCCTCTCATAATGTTAAATAGTTAATCTCCTTTTTTGTAGTAAGCTCACTAATTTCCTTAATCAAATGGAAAACTTCAAATTGTCAACGCGTTAAGATACCTTTTTAATTAGAGAATTTTCCAAAAGAATTGAGAAATAAATTCTTACATCTCTTCTTCTTTATAGATTTTTAGAAAAGACACCATTCCATACTTTTTCTTAAACAATAACGAGCATCTATATATATCATTCAACTCATACACTAACAATTTATATACTAGATAAATCTATAGATATTTATATAATATACTCAAGATAAACATTTGCTAATAATTCATAGATATGATTATTCAACTCAAACACAAGCAATTCATATATTAGATAGATCTATAAATATTTATATAGAATTCGAATCTCATTAAAGATTTAGAACTCATTATCTTATAAATATATTATGAATTAATAGGGATCAATCTAATTTTTTACGAACGAGTTATCATTATTTGAACGAAAAGATATTTTATCATGATTAAATTTTTTTAATAACGTTATTAAATTTTTTTTTTTTTTAAAAAAAAAAACTTGGAAAGTAATATTGAAGTTCAACTTATAGACTTTGAGAGGTGTTTAGTACACAACCAAATGAAAAAAAAAGTTGGGTCTTTTTAATTCTTGAAAGACTTAGAGATCAGACTAAGGGAGATTTTTTTTTTTTTTTTTGATCAATTCTTGAATATCATCTTGTAAAAGTTAGAGTAATTATCACAGTTTCAGTAGATCTTCAAAAGTTCTGGTACCAAATATTGATATTAGTCAAAGCAGTTTTCACACCCCAAAACATAGCCTTCAAATGTACATACTCTTGAATATTTTACATGAGTTTAGTGCTATTCATGCTAACACATGGTTGAAAAATTATTTTTTGATGACAAACAAATGACCAAGAGATGACTCTCATTTTCTACTTAATTTTTTTTTTTAGAAAAAAAAAATGTTTCTTAAAAATATAAGTATGCTCCAAATCTACGCGATAGGATGTTTTTGGTTTTTAGCAACAAAAGTTTCATATTTATTTCAGAGTAGGAAAGTTTTGAGAAGTAAGAAATTTTTTTTTTACATGGTTTCGATGCAAATGAATATCCTATTTAAATAAATTTTAGTAATAGTTAATTAATGTATGATAATGACAGTAATTAAATGATAATGACATAAAATGAGAATGACAATTTTTTTTTTTTTTTTTTATGTTTGAATTATTGTATATTAATGTATGTTAATAACATAATTTTATTTGTATGATGGAATAATATAATTGTATTTTCAGTCAAATTAGTAATAGTAAATAATATATAAAAAATATATAATAAAAAAAATTAAATTATTTACCAATATAATTACATTTATATTTAAATAAATAATTATTATAAATTAAAATTTTATATTTAATAAAATAAATAATAAATTATAAAGATAAAAATAGAATTAAACATATTATATGAGGGTATAAAGAGAAAAAAAGTAACCTGACTGTCACATACCACCGATTCGGTGATTTTAAAATTCATCCAAAATTTGTTGGTCAGATACCATTTGTTACCATTAAAACATGAAACAAATATGATTTTTTTATACCAGTGGAGTACCATATATTAAAATTCTGTCATTTATTACGATTCAAATATAGTGAAAGTTGCGAATCATACATGGAGTACCAATGCAAACGAGAATGCGAAAGAGCATTACCATCATGGAGTACACGAACTTCGTATGCTTGATTTTATTCTAAAGCAATAGATAGAATGCGGGCAATAACAGTGCCAACTATTAAGCTAAAAATGACGATGAATTTTTTCGAATTCTTTACCACAAACCTGCATCAGACCAACTACTCACAAGAGAACCATGAACCTCCCAGTGCTTCTCTCTCTCTCGTTGACTCTGGCTTCATGTTTTCCTTCGTGAAGCTAAGAAGAAAAACATGCGATTCAGGTTATTGTCATAAATGTTATCAGTCTGTTCAAACCCACAAGCTCTATCTCAAAATCCCTCTCCTCTGATAAATTTCCTTCCTACCAAATTAGAGCATCTTAATGTTATTTTTCATGTATTTAGTAAATATGTATATATGCAAATGATTGTGTACATGCGTATATCTGAAACCAACACTGACAAAGTTCGGATGGCAATGGAAAAGAAGAATTAGAAAAACCAAAGTTCTTCTAGACTTTCATAACTTGGAAAATCATATGAAATTATGAAATTATAAGTTATTTGATATTTAATAAAAATATTTATAAAAAATATTGTTATTTTAAAAAAATAAAAATTATATTTGGCAAAAATAAATTTTTAAATTTCAAAATTTAATTAAACTAAAATTATCTTCTAAAAATTACAGATTGTAGTTCTTGTACTTAAACCTATCAAAAGAAGGTTCTAAACTTCGGCTTTACCAAAAACATTTTGAACTTTGCCCGTTCACTTACAAAGTGCTTTTAAAATATAAAAACCAAAGCCAAAAGCCCAGTAAAGGAGCTTAAATATGCAAATAAACTGAAAGTGGTAACAATGTGAATGCCAACAAGTTTGCCCATCTCAAAATATTTTAGTGGTCGTGAAAGTCATCGGTGTATGCTTAATTTTTTATAGAAAAACAAAATGTTGCTTACAGTCCAACAACCTTTCAAAATGACAATCTATCAGCACTTAGTCAGGATGCAGCCCGGTATAAATTTGAAATAACATACGCACAGAAATAGGGAGAGACAGAGAGAGATAGGATGGAGTCATGTTAAACAAATGAAAAAGAAAGAAAGGCTTACCTAGTATTCAAGACCAAGGCCATTTAGCATCTCTCCATGAAAACCGACAGCCCCGAGAATTTCTGTCAGCCAGGAGCGCAGAGTTACTTGCATTAATTTCCAGGTGTTCGTCTTGGTATGACCCTGTCGCCTGAGAGCATCGAAGTTTTTGGTCACGTAATGAGGCCACCTCCCTATATGATGGGCAAGTATATCTTGGGTGTTCGATAAATGACACGTTTTTCCACCAAAGCTGAAAAGCCTAGAGAAAACATAGGGAGAAAATTAAAAAGCAATTTAACCTTAAAGGATAATGGAAATGTATTTCAAATTATTCCCTTTTAGCAATATGACTAGATAGGAGTGCGTTTGAAATGAAGACATGAAAAGATCCATTCTGATTTCAAAGTGCGAAAATAAATTTGAACTAACTTGTCTGGGTATGCAACGAACTTAGAATCATTAAGTATGCTTCTTTTCCCTCTGAGTGCATTGAAAAGATAATATATACTATCAAGTCTCCCCTAAAAGAGAAAAATAACTCTTTCCCCTTTCAAGTGCAGATTAATATTGCCCAAGAACTCAATTAAGCTACCAGATGCATCATTGTGAGGCACTTGAGACAAATTAATATCTTGACACTCAAGAAAAACCATTCCGCATATAACAAGCCTCACAAATGGGGTTCATACTTGTAAGATTTACAAAAATTAAGGGATCACTAGTTCTGATGGTTTCTAGTTTATATAAAAATAATATGAAGAAACAACCACTGTAATTTGTTCAAGCCAGAGAACAATTTGGGACATTATACTGTTGAAAATACTTGTGACTACAGCAAATTCCAGTGCAGTCCATGCCATTTTTCTTTACAGGTAAGTATATATGATCAGGATTTTGTTTCTCAAACTGAGCTCTATGTCAAATAGTGCAGAAACTATATAAAGTATACAACTAACTGCTACAAAGAGCATTAAACAGTAGTGAACTTGGCTTGGAGAGCATTAAACTGCTACAAAGATTCACAAAGATAAAATGATATAGTAATCCACAGTTCAAACATAATAACCACATGTCATAACTCCCATACTTCTATTGGATGAACTAATTTGGAAAATAGAAATATGACCTGTAGCAGCTCCAAGGCAACTATTCCACTTTAAAATATTTTTCAACTACTTTAAATGGTTGTAACATAAGGCTTAGTTGAGTTGACTAAAAGCTGAAATTCAATTTTGCAAACATGATTGTAACATAAGGCTTAGTTGAGTTGACTAAAAGCTGAAATTCAATTTTGCAAACATTTCAATTGCACTTACTTGCCAATATATCCACATTGCAACCTTGTGAGGCATCAACCAGAAGAAAATTGCATGATCCAATCCTGGTGATGAGGGGATCCTTCTGGCTTTCATGATGGCCACAAAATACTCACCAAGATCAGGGTGCTGCACTGTAATGGAAACAGATAAATTATCCCCAGGAGCATTTGCCCTTATGCTCCAATTTCCAAGCATATCCTGCATTTGTTTTTTCCAGAAATGCATTTTGTTTAGTTTGTTTATAGAGAATAATAAAGTAAGCTTCCAGATAAAACTTCTTTTCCTTGTTTTGATGAAAGATGAAAAATATGGAAATAAGGTTCCAGACAAAATTAGATAAGACATGAACACAAACTACAATGATAACCTGTAGAAAACTGGTTCATTTGAAAATAACCACTATTTACATTTGTATTATGTAGTAGTTGGCCTTTTCTTCGACAAGTTGCTTTCTTTTGTGGGATTACAACTTAAGCATTTCTCTCTCTGCCACATTTATCCAGATAAGGATTCAATGACAGAGATATAAATGCAGCCCTAAAAGGAAAGATTCAAATTCTTTAATAGAAGCCCTAAATCTGGAGAAAAAGAATGTAGACCAATAAGATCAGCACCCATCCTAATTTCTCTCAGCCTATTTTTGCAAGGTCCATAACTTGTGATCTTGTTATGGATCTCTTAGAGGAAAAATAAGAAGCTAAAGAGGAAGGATACTTTCTGGTTCTTCTCCCTTTAGTGCCTATTTCGAATAAACTGCATGGGCTAGCAGCGATTTCCAAGAGTAAAAAGTACTCAATAACTTTCTGAATCTTGTATGTCCATTTTATTCTTTGCAGGACAGCCCGTTTATGGCTTACAAAAAACAGAAATAAAGGAAAATAAACTGTGTATAAACCGGACACAAACCAAAACCTACAAACTCTTTTCTTTTTTGAAATAAGAGAAACCTACAAACTAACTGCCATAACCAAAACTGGGCACAAGAAAACAATTAAATTAAAAAATAAAACTAAAACGTTATCAGATCTATAATTATATTTGAATTGGCAAGTAGATGATTATTTCTTAACTGCCGATTAGGACCATAACATTACTCCTCCACTTGGTGCTTATCCTCAAGCGCAAAGGTTGGAGCCACTGGCTCACAGTTGACAAAGTTCAGATTCAATAAACTACAAAAATGCCCTCCTGTTGTGCACTTTCTAGTGGTTCATCAAAACCTTTGGCCAAAAAGCTTCTTACAATGGTGACCAGCATAAATATTTTGGCCTCCTGCTTTATTTCTTCCAGATCTGAGTATAAATATACATGTTCCAGAATGAGAGAGAGACATAAAAGTATCCCTGAGTAAACAAATCGTAAACTGTTCACACTTCAGCAGGGTATCATGTCACTACCTGTTAGGAACAGAGGAGAAGAAGATTTCTGATTGTATTATGGACAACAAAAAATTTTATACAGCTTGTACAATGGCAAAAAGAAAAAGACAAAAACGGTTATAATTAATAAATTAATTTCAACTAATAAATGATTAATCTTAATACTCTCTCTCAAGATGGAGAGTACAAATTTATTGTACCCATCTTATTTAACAAATTGTCGAACTGTGTAGGATGAAGTACTTTTGTTATTAAATCTGCAAGTTGATTGCGAGTGGATATATGCATTGTCTTCAAGGTACCATCTTGAATTCTTTCTTGGACAAAATGACAGTCAAGTTCAATATGTTTTGTTCTCTCATGATACACTGGATTCGAAGCAATGTGTAGAGCTGCCTGATTATCACAGTAAAGCAATGTAGGATCTTGATGTTGCACTTTTAAATCTTGTAACAAATTCAGAATCCACACTATTTCACATGTAGTATTGGCCATAGAACGATACTCGACTTCTGCAGATGGCTGAGATACAACTTGTTGTTTCTTTGATTTCTATGAGACTAATGAAGATCCAAGAAAAACACAATAACCAGTCAGAGATCTTCTAGTATCAGGACATGTGCCCCAATCAGTATCAGAAAAAATCTTAATTTGAATGGTAGATGATGAAGGAAGGAAGAGACTCTGTCCAGGTGTTCTCTTGATGTACTGAAAAATCCGCAAAGCAGCCTGAAGGTGATTGGTCCTGGGAGCAGCTAAGAACTGACTCAATCTATTGACAGAATAGCATATATCAGGATGAGTTATGGTCAAGTACAACAATTTTCTAATTAGTTGCCGATAATTAGTGATATCACACAGAGGTTCTCCATCATCTTTGGATATCTTAAGATTGGGTTCCATGGGAGTAGATGAGGGCTTACAACCAAGGTACCCAGTTTCAGTTAACAGATCCGAAGCATATTTTCTCTGACATAAGGTGATTCATGTGTCATTTCTTACAATTTCAAGTCCAAGAAAATATCGAAGAGTTCCCAAATCTTTCATCTTAAATTTTTGTTTGAGTGCAACTTTGAGTTCTTCGACGGCATGATTATCATTACCAACAATAACAATATCATCAACATATACCAACAATGCTAGAAAAACATTACTCTGATACTTGACAAATAAGGAGTGGTCACATTGTGACTGATGGAAACCTTCTTGAAGTAATACTTGTGAGAACTTGTGAAACCACTGTTGGGAAGCCTGTCTCAACCCATATATTGATTTATGTAGTTGGCAAACAGGTTGATGTGGAAAAGTCTCCCCCTCTCGAGGAGAATAGCCTGGAAGAATATTCATATAAACTTTTTCGTAAAGGTCACCATGAAGGAAAGCATTGGTAACGTCTAACTAAGTCAGACTACAACCATGAATAGCAGCCAGTGAAAGCAAAATTTTTACAGTAACCAATTTTGCAACTGAAGAAAAAGTGTCAATAAAATCAATGCCAAATTGTTGTGTGTAGCCCTTACCAACCAGACGGGTTTTGTGTCTCTCTACGGTCCCATCGGCTTGATATTTAACTTTATAAACCTACTTACAATCAACAGATCTCTTCCCAGGTGGAAGAGAAACAACAGAACAAGTATTATTGTTTTTTAAGGCACGTAACTCCATATTCATAGCGGTCCTCCAGGGCACAACTCTTCTTCTTCTTCCTCGAGCACGCACCCTACTGTGCGACAGGCGCAGAGCTTCATTAAAAACAGCCTGGTTGGAGTCAGGCGAGTGCATCTTGAGCTTGGGCTTGAGGCCCGGTGGATACCCATGTAACCAGCAACACCGGTCCACAGTGTGGCCCCCGAGCCCACACTGTGAACAGGTGGGTCATCTTCGACCTTGAGCTAAGGCAACAGAAGAAGCATACCTCGTAGCCGCCTCTGCACACGCGTTGAAGCCGATTGCACGGTGTCGTTCTTCTTACACCACCAGCGAGAAAACTTTCAAAATGGATAGCGAAGATTCCATCATCAGGATTTGAACCCTAACAGCAGCGTAGGAAGGATTCAAACCCATCAAAAATATCATTACAAACTCCTGCTTTTGATAATCATTCCAAGCCTTCATGTTTCCACAATGACAGGTTGGAGCTGGTTGGTAAGTTTTGAGCTCGTTCCAGATTGTTTTCATCCGCAGTAATAGGCGTTGATGCTGAGTGATCCTTGAACAAGGTTATTCATGCTCTGTTTCAGTTGGTAGATACGCGGAGCATTGCTCTGCTGATAACGGAGCCGCAAATCGGTCCAGATAGATTGTGCATTCTCATGGTATAACAAACTATCAGCTATTTCCTTTATTACAGCATTCAACAACCAAGAAGTTACCATGCTATTACAATGTGACCAAGCTCCGGCAGTGGAATCAGTATTGCTCGGTTGATCGTAAGTTCCATCTATGAAATCCAATTTGTTTTTGGCGTTCAAAGCTATTCTGATTGCTCTCTCCCATGTGTTGTAATTGTTGCCATTGAGAAGGTTCGATACCAAGACCAATTCAGGATGGTCGGCAATGTGAAGGAAGAAAGGGTTTTGAGAATCATCTGATTGCTCTCTAGTCATTGAAGATTGAAATTTGAAGCTTAATCACTGAGCTAAAAAATTGTTTGAGTAAAAAGGAAGCTTTGATACCATGTTAGGAACAGAGGAGAAGAAGATTTTTGATTGTATTATGGACAACAAAAAACTTTATACAGCTTGTACAATGACAAAAAAAAAGAAGACAAAAACAGTTATAATTAACAAACTAATTTCAACTAATCAATGATTAATCTTAATACTACCATGTGTCAGTATCCTAATAAAATACTCCTTTAACTACTATTTTATTTTTATCAGACAATAACAGATTGTTACATTTCTTTAAGGAAGAGTGGAGGTAATTTCTCTTTGGAAAAATAAAAACTAGAATATAAAGATGAAATGAATTAAATGTGCAAATGAAATTTGCAAGAAAACCGAAATACTATAATCAGACAGTTATGTTAGTTCAATGCAATATTAAGAAAAAGGGATACATATTAAGAACATGCGATTGGCATTATTTAATGAATGTGAACGAAAGGAGCAAGAAACAAAATCAGTCAAGAAACAAGAGAGACCTACCATGAAGGGGCTAACATGTAATGGTTTTGCCACTAAATCAGATTTTGGGTTGAAAACAAACAACACTCTTTCACCCCATGGTGTGTTCGTTACCTGAGGACATAAATCAACAACCCAGTAAGCAAAAGCATAATATCTTTATGCACCCACTAGACTAAAATTCAACGAAAAATAAAGGCATCAAGGCAACAATTATTACTAGACAAGCAAAGATAAGTAAAATTACGACTAGATATGGAACCTACCTAGCTTATAATTCGAGCAAAAAAGAAAAACAGGGGTCAAACAATAATAATGGAATAAATTTCAAACAGCATCTCAAATATGTTTCAAAATCTTTCTTTCTGGTTTTTATTTTGTTGATGGTCAAAGAATACTACTCAAACATCCTTCAAAGCATTTTCAAAATTCATGAAATTTGTAGATAGTTCTTTCATTTCTCTTAAAACAAAAGAAAGTTAGTAAAGAGAAAGGAGGGAAAGTTGCTTTGTTATCTTGTAAACTACCAGTAGCCTGCTAGCATTAATGTTTCTAGAAATAGATTAAGGAAGATAATGTTGTTCCTATTTTCTCCTTTTTGCAATTTATATATAATGATTATGAATCCCCTCTGCTTTGTGCCATTATTGAATGAAAACACTTCACCTTGAAGAGTTTCATCCTCAACAATTAAACAAGTAGTTCACTGTTTGACTTTCCAAGCATAAGTGTTGTAATCAGGAGTTGTTGATGCTCTCAAACAATACAATCAGCCAAGAAACCAAGAGTCATAACTAAGGATGCATCATGTAGAAATTGATTTACAAAGACCTACTACACTCGTGGATTTTATTTTATTTTTCTTTTGAGAGGATAGACTCTTGGATTCTAATAAAAAAAAATACAACCATATATCTTTTGGAGGCTGCTGGCTTGAGAGGATTAGTCAAAAATGTGTTTCACTTTTGATTGTAACTCCGGCTATCCAAATATATCACTTTTTTAATACCAAAACCAGCAATAAACATAATTGGAGGAACTAAGCCTCAAAATGAAACTCCCGAGTGATGCAATGCTTTTAGTTACCACTTTCATCAGAAACTTCTCAGAGCCACGGCCTGAAATATGAATTCCGAAGTTAAAGGGGGTTAAGACTTACTTTTTCTTCTTATATTTTAGTTTG